TTAGTGGGGTGTAATCCCATGAATATATAATATATATTAATTTTTATTTAACATAAAATAACAATTTGTAGATAATATAAATATTAAAGTGAAAATATAAGAAATTATATATAATATAAATTTAAAAATGTAAATATTTCATCAGGTTTTTCTTCATGTTTTACACAAATATAACATGAAAAAAACAGATTAATGAAAATAGATCTCACCCCCATTAGAGGTGTGTAATCCCATAAATATATAATATATATTAATTTTTATTTAATATAAAATAACAATTTATAGATAATATAAATATAAAAATGTAAATATAAGAAATTATATATAATATAAATTAAAAAATGTAAAGTGTAAATATAAGAAATTATATATAATATAAATTAAAAAATGTAAACATTTTTCTCCATGTTTGACACAGATATAACATAAAAAAACAGATTAATAAAATTTAATCCTACCCCTCTTAGTGGGGTGTAATCCCATAAATATATAATATATATTAATTTTTATTTAACACAAAATAACAATTTATAGATAATATAAATATAAAAATGTAAAGTGTAATTTAAATTAAATATAAATTAAAAAATGTAAATATTTCATCAGGTTTTTCTCCATGTTTTACATAGATATAACATGAAAAAAACAGATAAATAAAATTTAATCTCACCCCCATTAGTGGGGTGTAATCCCATAAATATATAATATATATTAATTTTTATTTAATATAAAATAACAATTTTTAGATAATATAAATATAAATACTAAAGTGTAAATATAAGAAATTATATATAATATAAATTTAAAAATGCAAACATTTTTCTCCATGTTTTACACAGATATAACATGAAAAATCCAGATTAATAAAATTTAATCCTACCCCTCTTAGTGGGGTGTAATCCCATAAATATATAATATATATTAATTTTTATTTAACATAAAATAACAATTTATAGATAATATAAATATTAAAGTGTAAATATAAGAAATTATATATAATATAAATTAAAAAATGTAAAGTGTAAATATAAGAAATTATATATAATATAAATTTTAAAATGTAAATATTTCATCAGGTTTTTCTCCATGTTTTACACAGATATAACATGAAAAAAAACAGATTAATGAAAATTAATCTCACCCCCATTAGTGGGGTGTAATCCCATAAATATATAATATATATTAATTTTTATTTACCAAAAAATAACAATTTGTAGATAATATAAATATAAAAGTGTAAATATAAGAAATTATATATAATATAAATATAAAAATGTAAAGTGTCAATATAAGAAATTGTAAATAATATAAATTAAAAAATGTAAACATTTCATCAGGTTTTTATTGAAGCTCCAAACTTGCACAAAGATACAGCAACAGCAAAAAAAACCCTCACAAATAAAAAAATTAATAAAAATAGTAAAAAAAAAAATAAAGTAAATTTAAAAATGAATTAAAAATCAATTTAAAGTGAACCAATAAACATCGTTAATTTTTTGAAAAATCAATGAAAAATGAACAGAAAAAATCAGTGAAAAATCAATTTAGAACGAATGAAAAGACATTGCTCATTTAAAAAAAAATCAATGAAAAATCTACAAAAAAAATTCGCGAAAAAACTATTAAAAAATCAATGAGAAAATCAACGAAAAATCAATGAAAAATCAATGAAAAATCAATGAAAAAAATCAACAGAAAATGAACAGAAAATCCATGAAAAATCAACGAAAAATCAATGAAAAATCCACGAAAAATCCACAAAAAAATAAAAAAAAATCATGGAAAAAGCAACAAAAATCAATGAAAAATCAATTTAAAACAAACCAAAAAACATTGCCAATTCTTTAAAAAAGCAATGCAAAATCAATGAAAAATAGACAAAAAATTAACAGAAAAAAATCAATGAAAATCAATTAAAAATCAATTGAGAATGAATGAAAAAACACTGCTAATTTCTAAAAAAAGCAATGAAAAATAAAAAAAAAACTGCAAAATTCCATTAAAAATCCGCGAATAATCCACAAAAAAAACAATGAAAAATCCACAAAAAAATCAAGAAAAATCATGGAAAAAGCAACAAAAATCAACAAAAAATCAATGAAAAATCAACGAAAAATCAACGAAAAATCAACGAAAAATCAACGAAAAATCAACGAAAAATCAACGAAAAATCAACGAAAAATCAGTGAATAATCCACAAAAAAAATCAACAAAAAATCAACGAAAAATCCGTGAATAATCCAAAAAAAAAAATCAAGGAAAAATCAACAAAAAATCCACGAAAAATCAACAAAAACTCAACGAAAACCCAACTCAAACCAAACCCTTACTTTTTCTCTGGCAGATCCTTCCTCGCCTTCTCTCTCTGCTCAGTACCTGCAATAAAACACAAAAAAGGCAAAATTAAAAATCAAAAACTGAGCTCATTCTGACCAACCCCCAGCTCTGCATTACCCAGGGTGTCCAATAAAACCAAAAATGGCAGAATTAAAAATCAATTTTGAACTCATTCTGACCAACCCCCAGTTCCACACCAGCATGGATTACCCAGGATGTCCAATTTACCAAAAAAGGCAAAATTAAAACTGAATTTTGAACTCATTCTGCACAGCCCCCAGCTCTGCATTACCCAGGGTGTCCAACAAAATACAAAAAAGGCAGAATTAAAATTCAATTTTTAGCTCATTCTGCACAAACCCCAGTTCCACACCAGCATGGATCATTACCCAAGATGTCCAATAAAACTAAAAAAAAGCAGAATTAAAAACCAAACCCAGCTGATGCTGACCAAACCCCAATTCTGCATTCAGCACGGATTACCCATGGTGTCCAACATAACACAAAAAAGGGAGAATTAAAAACAAAACCCAGCTCATTCTGCACAAAGCCCAGTTCCACACCAGCATGGATCGTTACCCAGCATGTCCAATTAAACCAAAAAAGGCAGAATTAAAACTCAATTTTTAACTCATTCTGCACAACCCCAATTCCCCACCAGCAGGGATCATTACCAGGATGTCCAATTACCCAAAAAAGGCATAAT